CTTATCTCAAAGCGTACTTCAGATCACTTATCTCAAAGCGTACTTCAGATCACTTATCTCAAAGCGTACTTCAGATCACTTATCTCAAAGCATACTTATTTCACAACCAAGCATCAAACCATGTAAGTCCAGTATCCACATTTGCCTTTGCCTTGTAGAGGGTTGTGCTAGCTAAGACATAGACTGTGATCTAGTGAGAAGATAAACTTCTCACTAAAGGCTGTGCTTATTAAAGGGCAGTGTTAATATATAATATCAATGGACTTATTACCAAGCATTTTGTTTTACTGTGTCTGGTAAATAACCTACGCAAAGTGTTCATAACAAAGCATAGGCTAGAATTTGTAGTGTTTAAACATCTCTGTACTTGGAGATAGAGGATCTGGCTCTCTGGTATTGATTTCCTGACATTAGCCTTCGATCTTTCAGTTTTGTTACAACGGTTCTATAAGACGCTGTGATTTCATTCTTTTTAATGTTCTTTTAATGACAAATGTGTCATTAACTTTCCATTCCATCTTCAACATTGAACGACAAACGACAATTTAATTGGAAAAGTAACACAGTTCACACATTAAGTATCACAGATACCCTGATTCAAACTTTGTACAGGATTCACAAAGAATAGGAGATCACACGTCCACGTAACAAGTATAGTAAAGTGCTGTGATGCCCAGCTGAAGGACTCAACAACAGCCTTAAAAAACACTATGACAACATCAAGCTGGGTTGACCGGCTTTAATATAGGACATTGACTAGTTACGAGGCGAGCTCCGGCCATGTCTAAACATATCAAACGCTACAAAACTCACTAGAAAAACACTCAAGAATACTGTACAAGGAACCAAGCCAATCTTCAGAGTGTTGTCAGCAGCAAACAGACCTATCAGAATAAAATTTTCATCAACAGATTAAATGTGTGAATTAAGCTACTATTCTAGACACTTCAGTATCATTTCAATACCGTAAGTTGCAACATACAGAATATTCGTCATGAGATATGAATATATTGTCTACTACAAGTATTGAATATAGTTGGGGATAGGAAGAAAGGATATTAGGGAAGCTAAGTCAATATCCTTGATTAAAGGTGGTAAACCAAGTCAGACGTTGTCATGATCATCTTTACCTATTTGTAAAGAATTGTTATACCCCAACAACCATCCATCTGCGTGAAATATTGTCAAGTGTATCTAAAAAAGCGCTGAAGCAATATTTCTCAAATCTGGCATCCTTTCCATATACAGCTATTCCCTTTCACTTTTCATTTAAACTTGATAAAATGCTACAGCCAATCATAGCCCATAATTTGACATATTATGTTTTCTGTTACCATGGAAACACTTTGGAGACTTCTGATTGGTCAAAATTTAGTTATTACCTGATAAAGTTGAAGATTGGTATAAACAGATTTAGGGGCATAATAAATACAATGATACCATTTTCAAAAAAAAAAAAAAAAAAAGGTTTCCATTTGGTTGCCATGGTGACCAAATGAAGACCTTTTGGAGGAATCTTATTGGGACAACCCCTCCAAAACTATTGTAGATTGGGGAGCAGGGGGTATTAGTTACCAATCCTGGCGAAAGTTCTAGTTTAAATTGAAGCCTGGTACCAATACTGAGCACTGCCCTGCTGTCTAACCATCAAATAAACAATCACAAATCAACACAAAACAACTTCTCTAGACCTGCTGTCTATTATACAAACATATCAAATGTATTTCCATTGTCCCACATTTTAAATATTAGTTACATTAATGCATTATTAAAGATGAAGGTGAAATAAAAACAACAACAGTTGTAATATGCATTTTTAGAAATATATTTTATTCAATTATCATTTTGATTTAAGTTTTCTCCAATAGAGACTCTTGGAGACAAACACTGACAAATCTCATCTCTGGCTGATTCTCATAAGATATTGAATCTTGTGAGTTGGACATTGCACAAGGTGGGTATCAAGGTGGTTTTATATTCTGGCTATGTTACAGGTGCATAATTTATCAAATTATGATCAAGCGACCTTGCAGCCTTGACGGTCACCTGAGGTAAGCATTATTGAATAAAAGTCATTTCCAATGGAAAATAATGTCGTGCTCAAAATGCAATTTTTCTCCATGAAATTCACAATATCGGTAAAGCACCACAAGACCGTTTAGACCTGAAAGAGCATTTGGCCTTACAGTACATCAGCTCCTGGGAGACAGCTAGGATCAATATGTGCATACCATCAAGCTGTCATTCTACAAATTTTAAATATTTCCAAAGGAAATTAAAACTATGCTTAAAAATGTATTTTCCTATATAACCTATTATAAACTTTACCCCCTCCCCTGGGGCCATGGAATTCACAATTTTGGTACAGCACCTCAAGATGCTTCCATCTTTGAAGAGTACTAGATTCTAACAGATCTGGGTGTTGAAAAAGATTTTTGAAATTTGAGTCAATTTGACTACTCTTGGCAGGAAGAGGAAGTGGGGCTGTATAATCTACTATTTCGGTTAATGTTTGGCCAGGGAAGGTTTCTGCAAAATTTCTTTGAAATCGGTTCAGGGTTCAGAGAAGAGGTTGAAAATATTTAAAGTTAAAAGCATGACACATTACTTCGGACAAAAGGCGATAGCAGTAGGTTACCATAAGACTTTGCCTCAGTTAATCTGAAAATTGTACATAATTTATCAAATCATGTTTAAAAAAAATGAAACAAAATCTACAGAGTTCTTCCAAACAAACAAAATCACATAAAAAATTTTAACATAAATTCTTTGAATTATTTCATTTTCAAGACAACTTGTTATTTTTCCTTGTGTTTTGATATTTCTAAATATGGTATACACTTGTTAAAGTTTTCATGTTTTGGTATTTCAAATTGAAAAATTAATCAAATTTTTGCTGTTTTCACCTTGACGTCTGGTAAAAATGTTCTTTCAACACACCTTTTTTCTGCAGGTGAAAAATAATTATAAGAAAGTATGAACAGCATAAAACACACAGATCCCCTAGATCCTTTACTGACACTACCAGGTTTTTGTCAGTGATAGAATCACATGTTTTCTTAAATCCATAGTTTGTTTGTGACCAAAGCGGCAAGAAATTATCACATAACCTGTTTTTGTATCATAGATCAGTGAAGTGTCCTTCTTGGAGATCTAAGAAAAAAAAAAAAAGGATTTTCGACTAAATTTAAAAATTCAGGACACTCACTTCATGAAATTTTAACTGATTTAAAATTTGACCTGACACAGCAGTCAAGATTTCGCACTTTCATTTGAACAATGGCATTTCTATAATCACAGTACAAGTGCTTTCCTATCAATAAAAACAAGAGGCCCAATAGGTCTGCATATATTATTCATACAAAAAAAAATACCAGGGGTAATTGATTGACACATAGCAATATTTTTTTCTCCAACATATATAATCCTTTGTGTGTGTAGATTGACAATATGTCTCTGTTTTGACAATCATTCCAACAAAACAATATTTAATATCACAGTAATTTAACAAGAAGCAATGGTTAAACTCCAAGACACTCAGAGGGAAACACATGGATATGACTGTACATCCTTCATATATTACTGACACCTGGTTTGAACCCAGTGGATCAGATATCCACAAATCATAACAAAGTCCAGGACGTAGCATCAAGCTATTCACAATGCCAACTTGAAACTGAAAACAAGAAAAATGTAAAAAAAAAATCAATACTCCTGCTCCCGCGTATATCTGATGATTTTTTTTACTATAAGTTATGATGACCTTCACCTTAAACATAAATTTGTCCCTGGTAAAACAATGTAGAACCGAATTCCTTATAAAAATTATTTCCTTTTGGCATTTCAGTGGTTGTTGGTTTTGACCTAGGAACCCGTCATAGGTATTTTTGTAACCGACCTTGGCACAGTTTTATCAAGATCCCTGTAGAAATTAAGCCACTACCGTGATCATATATTGATTGAACAGACACAATAGTATGAATATGGGTAAACAATACTCTCCTACCTCACCCCTCCCTAAAAAATGGTAGCTTCTTCCTTCTCTTCCTTCCCTAAAATGGAACCTTCTTCCCTCCCACAAAAAAAAAAATGGTAGCTTCTTCCCTTTCTTCAATGGTATCTTCTCCCCCCCCCCCCCCCCCCCCCCTCAAAAAAAAAAAAAAATGGTTGCTCCTTCCTTCCCTTAAATTCTAGCTTTGTCCCTATACCCCTTTGAAATGGTAGCTTCACACTCTTGGTCTCCAGTAATACTTCTGTATACCTGTGAAAATAATTAGAAATGCAACTCTGTGCAAGCAGGATGGATATTTGACACCATATGGATAATACACAATTAAGATGGAATTCCATTTTACAACATAAAAATCATTTAAAATTAAATTATAATATTGTATAAGTTGCTACACCATTTGATGGTAAGAATAAACAGTAAATATGGCACATCTGGAAAGATAAGGAAATTACAGTAAACATATTCACATCATACAAACAGTTCATCTTCATACAGAGAAACTTTGTAGCATATTGCAATATCAGTTAATATTATTGGGGCTTTATTTTCATAAACTTTCGGGTCATTTTATATTCTTGAAATCACATGTCTCATAATTTGTAAACCGAACAAAAATTAGAATTAATTTTATAGCTGATCTCATGGGTACGACTACTTCAAAAAGTTATTAACAACAAAATTCATGGAACTTGATTCCAATCACAATATTTGATTGTTCAATATATACAGAAGTTTTGATTGGATCAATATGTGAACCATTTAGAACATGTATCTCAAAAACTGTGCATCTTTATCAGGTTAACAGGATGATGATTTGTCCTGCACATGTAATTACTCTGCAGCTTAAAAACAGTGATAGTCACTCTGTGCTTGGGAATTAAAAATCAAATTAACTCATGGTTCCACATCTGATAAATCAGCTATTCTTAAAGGTCCCCTCTTGTAGTGACCCTATCTCTACATAATTTATCTTGGCCTGTCACTATGATCCCCTCCCCCACCCCCAACCCCACTCTAAAACATCTTATCTTGCCCTGCCAAAATAATTCCTCTTGGACTCTAGTTAACCTTAATTATCCTTGTAGGACCCTATTTAACCTTTCCCTGTCCTAGTGACCTCTGTTTGACACTTCTAAACCGTTTCCTGCTCAAGTGGGTTCAAAGTGCAAACAGTTTTACTGATCCTGTGGACAACATCCTTTGAACATAAGAACGCAACAAAACACAAAGCAACGTCTCAGTATAAGAAGACCGGTTATATAACACACTAATCAAATCTGACTCTGTAAAAATGACAAGGATTTAAAATCTTTCTTCACCTTCCATTCCCCTTTTGACATCACCTTGGATTTCACAGATCCTATCATGTGATCACCATCAGGATTTAAGGTACTTGTATGTACTGCAGTGTTTCAATTCCGACGTCCAGGGACTAACTTGACCTCTTTACGACACTGACTGAAGACTGAGAATAAGAGGGCCATGGGCCTTAACAGTCATTTGACATTTAACAAAACAGGGGGTTACTTGGACAACAAAGCTGATTAAACTGGGGGTTACCTGGACAACAACACTGATCAAAAAGGGGGTTAGTTGTAAACCAAAACTGAACGAATACTGGGCTAAAGAGAGAGATATACGAGTCATTTTAATGTTAATATCATATTTTGTTTTTCACCCGACAACCTTTGGTTACATTACACATATTGTCTGATAAAATATCCTTTAAAGCCATCACATTTACCAACTGTAGAAAGTTACAAAATAACATAATACTGCTGCAGCTACATTTAAATGTACAGTTATGTAAATTATGCAAAATTGATGTCCTTCATTACGCAGGGATCAGATAATCATTATTAGAATATCCTTCTTATCCTAACAAAAGAGATTTTTGGAATTTAAGATCAAGGAAAGTTTTGGTATTTCCAACTTCACATTTCTTGATTTTAAATTACCAAAGTATTCTAGTTATACAATATAAATACAAAGTATTTTTAAGCAGGTTCTTTTACTGTACAGAAAAATTGTTACAATTCTTGTGTCAAAAGAGAACCTGCTGTTCTCGTTTTATGAGATCACATCAAATAAACACTAAATATTAGTTGTTATAAAATTGGCTAATTAAGTTCAATCCACCAACTCGACACACCAGTAAGTAAACATCAGGACATATGTTCCGGAAATTAATTTTTACAATTGAAAAAATTCTGTAAGAGCCAGTGCTAGTAACATGCATCACATACAAAAAATTAAAAAATCATGTGTGATCATTATGTGTAATGCATGTAAAGCTGTGTCATTGATATCAACTGAAAATGTCAGCTCAATGTACAGTATTTAAGTTTCCAACAATGTTGGTGATTTTGATATGATTAGATTTATTCCAAAAAATGACATTTGTGACCAGAGATGTGATTGATTAGATGGTACAGCCCTTTTTTAAACATGTTTTTATACACATCATATATGACATCATAATGGTTGCAAAAAAAAAAAAAAAATGAAATTTACTGTCGGACATTTGTCACTTCTGTTGAGATGTTAACTAATCAACATAGAAATATCTTTACACAAAGGTACAAACAACAAGAGGCCAAAAGGGCCTTAACAGTCGTCTCACTTACAATGTTGTATCTTGTTAACAAAGTAGGCTTTAACTAAATGGTACATGAAATGCAAATGTAAAACATGCACAACATTGACCATCATCTCATGTTAGGGCTTCTAACCATACTATTGTGATTTTCCTACACAAACTCTTCCACCCATGACCAGTATTTAATTGGTTCTATCATATTTGAATCAATTTGACCCCTTTTGACCCTGCCTTCCAGCCCTTTGGGGTCAGTTAGGATCAATATGTGCATATCGTCCAGCTGTCAACTTATACTAATAATTCTAACCAAGTTTGAACTATTTCCAATAGAAAATAAACAAATTATGCCCAAAATGTCATTTTCCAATACATACTACAAGTTTAGTAAACTTACATTATTCATAAACTTAAAAATCATATATTATTAAAAGTTCTGTGCACCTATGGATGGATTCTGCAAAGTGTCTGTGAGTATCCAAGGATGCAACACCTTGTCTAAGGATGCATCACATTGTCTATGTATCCCAGGATGCAACACATTTTCTATGAGTATCCAAGGATGCAACACCTTGTCTAAGGATGCATCACATTGTCTATGTATCCCAGGATGCAACACATTTTCTATGAGTATCCAAGGATGCATCACCTTGTCTAAGGATGCATCATATTATCTATGTATCCCAGGATGCAACACATTTTCTATGAGTATCCAAGGATGCATCACCTTGTCTAAGGATGCATCATATTATCTATGTATCCCAGGATGCAACACATTTTCTATGAGTATCCCAGGATGCATCCCATTGTCTACGGATGCATCACATTGTCTTGTCTATGAGAATCCTAGGATGCATTTCTTTGTCCATGAGTATCCCAGGATGCACCACTTTGTCCATGACTATCCCAGGATGCATCACATTAATTGTCTAAATAGTTTCACAAACAGAAAACTTTTAGACCTAATGATGTGGATAGTTTCACAAACAGAGAGTGCTTTAAGATCTAATGATGAATTGTTCAAAATAAAAACCAAAAACGAAAACAAAAAAGTCAGAAAGAAAAATTTCCTTGAAACAAAATTTCGTTAAAACACCATTTCAACCATTCATATAACAACAAGACCAATCTTACTTCCATCTTACTGGACCAAATCATTATCACTGATATAAATTCAGAGACAGATGGTTTAAGAATGGTCACTCCTAGGTACATGGCAAGTTCTGTTTGGGTTTGTGTACATCGTTATTCAAGTGAAAATTTCGTTTTACTCTGTTACATTCTCTGTGATGAATATTATGAAATGATAATGAGCTCAATGAAATTGTGAGGTAATTAGGGAAATGAAGAAGATTTTTCATTAATCGTCGGGATGTAGACCACATCTTCGCCGGAACTCCTGGCCTCGTTCATGAATCCATTTATTTGAAACCCATTTGGCTCCTACAAGCACTGGACATGCAGCATGTCGTGTGTTATATATACCTTCACCGCTCTTATATAAGTTGTACCAGAATGCAGCTCCTCCCTAGAAATAGACATCACCAGCTGGTTCTTAATATCAAGGTAAAACATTGAAAAAATTCAAGAAGTCTTTGACATTTACTTATGAATAAATGACATAGCAATAGCAATATGATACAAGCCAACACTGAAATGTTTAAAGAACAATATTAAAATTACCTTTTCTGGGAAAATTTTTACACCAATATAAGGAAACACTGTTGCTCCTCCAGCTTCAACATCACTCATCTGAAAATATCCATCGGTCATGAAAATATCCATCGGACATATAATTTTGTCAAATAATTATTTTTCTGTTTTGTTTTAGTATTCAGTATATTGAAAATACACATTTGTTCATCTGGGAAATGATTACATTAGTTATTTCCTGGCCATGTCTATAATTCAGATTTTGGCCTTCCTGTACATCCTGACCATGTCTATAACTAGGTTATCTCCCCTCCCCCCACACCCTCTCACAGTTTATATGTAATCACCTCTCTTCAAAGGTTACAAACTATCACCTCAGATATAATGCAATAACTTTCAACTAAACATTACCTTCCCTTTCAGTTTGTATTAGTTATTTACCACTCTTTTGTTAAATAGTTGCACCGTGCATGCTTCATGATAATCAAAACATCTTAAGGCAACTATCGTGTAAGTTTATTGTATCATTCCTTTCTGATATCAGTTTATACTCAAATATTTGATTCCAGTTTAATTCAATTTATTAGTAATACACTGTAAAGTGATAATTGATACCTAGATTTAAAAATAGATCTTCAGGTCAAATCCATTCGGTATGTCTGTCATACACTGCTCGTTTATTTTTTATAACATGCTTGTAGAACTTAATCATAATTTCGTTTCTTTCAACAAAGTGTAATTCCAAATAGTGGATTTAGTTTAACAATTTAGAATAGGTTGACATAGATGCTAAATCTATTTGCCCCCGATTACGGTAACGGGGTTACATAGTATATTTACGTGCATGTATATGAAACCGCTCCAAGTTAATAGATGTGATTAGTGTGATTAGTATAAAATGTTAAATTCCAAGCTGCACATTTTATATTTATTCCTAAATTTTTGACACATTGTTTTAATCTGTATTTTGCAGTTTTTCACCCTCTCTTGAGGTCTGTGATTCCATCACACACCTAATCCTCAAAAATCTGTGGCAGAACAATGACTCCTTAAAATCAGTCAATATGTAAATTATATTTTTGTGTGACATTGACCACGGGTTCTTAAAAACAAAATCACAGCATTTTGATTTATTTTTCTATAACACAATATTCATTTGATTTTGAAGGTCAATTCATTATACGCCTGCGTACTTAGTGATTATACTTAGTACTTACAGAAATATACAAAGATACCATTATAGTATACCCAGGTACTTGAAAACTTCATATCTGTGTACTTACTAAATATATCTGGGTATTTAGAGAATATATCTGGGTATTTAGAGAATATATCTGGGTATTTAGAGAATATATCTGGGTATTTAGAGAATATATCTGGGTATTTAGAGAATATATCTGGGTATTTAGAGAATATATCTGGGTTTTCACAGAATATACCTTGGCACTACACTTGACTATAATGCTATATAGACTTTTCACTCTCTCTAAAGGAAGGATATTTACAGTATCAGATCAGAACAAACCTCCAACTATTTCTTACTTACATAGGTGAGCCATGTTGCTATTCTGTTGCCTGTTCCTAAACTCTTGAAAGCATGTTTTTCTTCTTTCTGTATAAAAGACATCAGACCTTCAGTGGAATCATCAATTATTATACAGTTTCTCTCCAACACCTAGAGATATAGGATCTCAGTGAGTTTTAACTTGATACATGAAGTTTTGAAATGAGCTGAAGAAGTCTCACTAAAATAAAAAATTCGTGACAATTTTGTTTCAATTTAATACATGATTTTTGAATTCAATATCCTTTTTATGACATGATCAATTAAAAAAAAATCAATTTCTTAAAGTGACATCACAATCTGTGAATAACAAGGATATTATGTGATAAACATGTGTATGAATCAAAATAAACACCACTAAGTCCAGTTGATTTATAAAAACAGCACAAAATATATTTCCGTACCAGGCCTGATTCACCTTTAATAAGAGAACTTATTTCACCAGCTTTTCTTGACAGAAGTTATTACACTATTTACCAGTTATATATCATAAATGATTTTCTTTACTGATGAGGCAGAAACTTTTTATCACAAGAGAGCCTCTCAGTCTTCTGGCAAAATACAGTGACTACCTCCCTAAAACTCTCATCACTATCACACATGCTTACACTTATATATTTATGTAAGTTAGAATGGTTCACAAGATGCCCAAGGGGCCTGCATTGCTCACCTGGCTATTCAATCATTTAACAAGGAATTTCAAATATAACAGATAATTTCTGAAATAATTTCCCTCCTGGGTCCTTGAACTTGTGGTCAGATTTACCAATTGCCTCAAACCAAATTTTGACAATATCTTTGTATGAAAGAAGGATTTTTAAGAACTTACATTTCCCTTTTTTGGCCAAACATCTCTGAAGTCAGACTTCAAGTTGTGAATTTGGTTAATTTAAAATAGATCTGCTTCAAACCAAAGTGGGACACAATCCTTATATTTCTACAGAAGAAGATGGATTTTAAAGATTTTTCTCTGTTTCCCATTTTTCATACCGCCCCTCCTGCCCAAAGGGTCAGAGAGCCACCGTTTACACAAAATTACTTTCCCTTTACCCAACAATGCTTCAGATCAAATCTGGGCAAAATTCAATAATTCCTACAGGAGGAGTAGGACTTTTAAGATTTTTCTCTACTTCCTTTTTTTTGGTCCAGCCCCTCCTGCACAAGTGGTCAGGGACCCGACTTTTAAACAAAATTGATGCCCCTTTACACAACAATGCTTCAGTTCGAATTTAGGAAATATTCAATTATTTCTATAGAAGAAGTAATTTAAAGCACTTGCTAAATTTCTCCTTTTGGATTCTGGCCTTCAAGCCACTGGGGCCAGAACTAATATTCATATCAACTTGATTACTCAATAAGGATATTTCAGACCAAGTTTGAACAAAGTATGATCAGTGGTTCATGAATAGAGATTGTTTTTACTCAAACGTTGCAAAAGGAAAGATGACAGATGAGGAACAGATGATGGATGCTGCACCATGGCATAAACTCTTCAGTTCTTCAGACCAGGTGAGCTAAAAGAAGTCACTTACCCTTGCAAAATCAAAATGAGGCTCATAATGTCCACCAAGACCATAATTAGCAATCTGAAATTGCGAAAAACATTTTGAGATCAAGATAATTATTTCGAAAACATGAGGTCTAATGGGCCTGTTATTGTTACACTAGTCGATAGCTTCCACTAAGACAATATAATCGGTTGATTACCTTTCAGGTTCATACAAAAAATAATCTTGTTTTTTATTAGATGGGTTACAGGTAAAACTTGGTAGTCCTTCATCAATATAATTCAATCCAACTGGTCTTATATCAGGACCGTGAGATTCCTTATTTCTGGTTGTAAGCAGGACTGTCAAGTGTTTTCACTTCTCCCTTTGTGACGAGATCTCTAAACCTATCGTTTGTATTCAACACTTCCTGTATAGTGAGATTTCGTACCCTGTCATTTGTGGTCAAAACTATATATATATAAACTAAATATGGAGAGATTTCTAAACCTATCTTTTGTATACTGCTGTACAGTGAGATATCTGTTGTGTGTATTCACCACTATACAGGGCTGTACAGTGAGATACCTGTTGTGTGTATTCACCACTATACAGAGCTGTACAGTGAGATAACTGTTGTGTGTATTCACCACTATACAGGGCTGTACAGTGAGATATCTGTTGTGTGTATTCACCACTATACAGGGCTGTACAGTGAGATATCTGTTGTGTGTATTCACCACTATACAGGGCTGTACAGTGAGATACCTGTTGTGTGTATTCACCACTTTACAGGACTGTACAGAGAGATACCTGTTGTGTGTATTCACCACTATACAGGGCTGTACAGTGAGATACCTGCTGTGTGTATTCACCACTATACAGGGCTGTACAGTGAGATACCTGTTGTGTGTATTCACCACTATACAGGGCTGTACAGTGAGATAACTGTTGTGTGTATTCACCACTATACAGGGCTGTACAGTGAGATATCTGTTGTGTGTATTCACCACTATACAGGGCTGTACAGTGAGATACCTGTTGTGTGTATTCACCACTATACAGAGCTGTACAGTGAGATACCTGTTGTGTGTATTCACCACTATACAGAGCTGTACAGTGAGATACCTGTTGTGTGTATTCACCACTATACAGGGCTGTACAGTGAGATAACTGTTGTGTGTATTCACCACTATACAGGGCTGTACAGTGAGATATCTGTTGTGTGTATTCACCACTATACAGGGCAGTACAGTGAGATACCTGTTGTGTGTATTCACCACTATACAGGGCTGTACAGTGAGATACCTGTTGTGTGTATTCACCACTATACGGAGCTGTACAGTGAGATATCTGTTGTGTGTATTCACCACTATACAGGGCTGTACAGTGAGATATCTGTTGTGTGTATTCACCACTATACAGGGCTGTACAGTGAGATACCTGTTGTGTGTATTCACCACTATACAGGGCTGTACAGTGAGATACCTGTTGTGTGTATTCACCACTATACAGGGCTGTACAGTGAGATACCTGTTGTGTGTATTCACCACTATACAGGGCTGTACAGTGAGATACCTGTTGTGTGTATTCACCACTATACAGGGCTGTACAGTGAGATACCTGTTGTGTGTATTCACCACTATACAGAGCTATACAGTGAGATACCTGTTGTGTGTATTCACCACTATACAGGGCTGTACAGTGAGATATCTGTCATGTGTATTCACCCCTATACAGGGCTTTACAGTGAGATACCTGTTGTGTGTATTCACCACTATACAGGGCTGTACAGTGAGATAACTGTTGTGTGTATTCACCACTATACAGGGCTGTACAGTGAGATATCTGTTGTGTGTATTCACCACTATACAGGGCTGTACAGTGAAATACCTGTTGTGTGTATTCACCACTATACAGGGCTGTACAGTGAGATACCTGTCGTGTGTCTTCACCACTATACAGAGCTGTACAGTGAGATACCTGTTGTGTGTATTCACCACTATACAGAGCTATACAGTGAGATACCTGTTGTGTGTATTCACCACTTTACAGGACTGTACAGAGAGATACCTGTTGTGTGTATTCACCACTATACAGGGCTGTACAGTGAGATACCTGCTGTGTGTATTCACCACTATACAGGGCTGTACAGTGAGATACCTGTTGTGTGTATTCACCACTCTTCAGAGCTGTACAGTGAAATACCTGTTGTGTGTATTCACCACTATACAGGGCTGTACAGTGAGATACCTGTCATGTGTCTTCACCACTATACAGAGCTATACAGTGAGATATCTGTTGTGTGTATTCACCACTATACATTGCTGTACAGTGAGATACCTGTTGTGTGTATTCACCACTATACAGAGCTGTACAGTGAGATACCTGTTGTGTGTATTCACCACTATACAGGGCTGTACATTGAGATACCTGTCATGTGTATTCACCACTATACAGGGCTGTACAGTGAGATACCTGTCGTGTGTCTTCACCACTATACAGAGCTGTACAGTGAGATATCTGTTGTGTGTATTCACCACTATACAGGGCTGTACAGTGAGATACCTGTTGTGTGTATTCACCACTATACAGGGCTGTACATTGAGATACCTGTTGTGTGTATTCACCACTATACAGGGCTGTACAGTGAGATACCTGTCGTGTGTATTCACCACTATACAGGGCTGTACAGTGAGATACCTGTTGTGTATTCACCACTACACAGGGCTGTACAGTGAGATACCTGTCGTGTGTATTCACCACTATACTGGGCTGTACAGTGAGATACCTGTCGTGTGTATTCACCACTATACAGGGCTGTATAGTGTGATACCTGTTGTGTGTATTCACCACTATACAGAGCTTTCGTGTATAGTTTACCACTTACCTGTAAATCTTCAGCTGTAGCCATATCTAATCCAGTAGATGCCTCTATTCTTCTGTTGACTCGTTGTATTACCAAGTCATCTTCATCTTTTAGCCAGGCACTGTAATGTAATGAAGATGCTGCCATCTACAAATGGTCTTCACTATAGAATAACAGTGATGATGCAATCTTCATACTGTTTCAGTCATAGTGTTGGATATAGTACTCATCCTAATTCTGTATATAGTACTCCACTTCAATCATGTTTATAGTACTTGTCCTGATCCTGTTTTTAGTACTCACCATGATCTTGTATGAAGTAATCACCATGATCCTGTATGAAGTACTTATCCTGACCCTGTATATTACTCACTCTAACCCTGTATACAATAATCAACCTGATCTTGTATTCAGTACTCGCCCTGATCCTGCTTAAAGCACTCACCCCTGATACTGTATGAAGTACTTATCCTGACCCTGTATATTACTCACTCTAACCCTGTATACAATAATCAACCTGATCTTGTATTCAGTACTCGCCCTGATCCTGCTTAAAGCACTCACCCCTGATACTGTATGAAGTACTCACCTCTGATCCTGTATGTAGTACTCACCCCTTATCCTGTATGTAGTACTCAACCTGATCCTGTATTTAGTACTCACCTCTTATCCTGTATGTAGTACTCAACCTGATCCTGTATTTAGTACTCACCTCTTATCCTATATGTAGTACTCTCCTCTGATCCTGTAATTAGTACTCACCTTTATCCTCTATTTAGTACTAACCTTTTACTGATCCTGTATGTAGTACTCTCCTCTGATCCTGTAATTAGCACTCACCTTTATCCTTTATTTAGTACTAACCTTTTACTGATCCTGTATGTAGTACTCTCCTCTGATCCTGTAATTAGTACTCACCTTTATCCTCTATTTAGTACTAACCTTTATCCTGTATGTAGCACTCTCCTCTGATCCTGTATTTAGTACTCACCTTTATCCTTTATTTAGTACTAACCTTTTACTGATCCTGTATGTTGCAGTTTCTAATTTACCAGTCTTTGCATTGTGGACTGTGGCTCTTCCAAGCTAGCACCAGAAAAACAAAGAATAACATTTAAAGCCCGAGTACCTTTTGCTGATTCGATAATCGGCAGGTTCAATCACTCCAGTCTTAGGGTTTCGAACTGTCGCTGTATTCAGCTGGTAAAAAAATATACATAAATAAAAATTGAAATAAGATGTTAGCCTGTGTAAAAGACAGGATCTAAAATATCAGCCTAGCAAAGGACAGGATCTAAAATATCAGCCTAGCAAAGGACAGGATCTAAAATATCAGCCTAGCAAAGGACAGGATCTAAAATATCAGCCTAGCAAAGGACAGGATCTAAAATATCTGCCTAGCAAAGGACAGGATCTAAAATATCAGCCTAGCAAAGGACAGGATCTAAAATGTCAGCCTAGCAAAGGACAGGATCTAAAATATCAGCCGGTGTAAAGGACAGGATCTAAAATGTCAGCCTAGCGAAGGACAGGATCTAAAATATCAGCCTAGCAAAGGACAGGATCTAAAATATCAGCCTAGCAAAGGACAGGATCTAAAATGTCAGCCTAGCAAAGGACAGGATCTAAAATGTCAGCCTAGCAAAGGACAGGTAAAGGACAGGATCTAAAATGTCAGCCTAGCAAAGGACAGGATCTAAAATATCAGCCTGTGTAAAGGACAGGATCTAAAATATCAGCCTAGCAAAGGAGAGGATCTAAAATATCAGCCTAGCAAAGGAGAGGATCTAAAATATCAGCCTGTGTAAAGGACAGGATCTAAAATATCAGCCTAGCAAAGGAGAGGATCTAAAATATCAGCCTAGTAAAGGACAGGATCTGAAATATCAGCCTAGCAAAGGACAGGATCTAAAATATCAGCCTAGCAAAGGACAGGATCTAAAATGTCAGCTTAGCAAAGGACAGGATCTAAAATGTCAGCCTAGCAAAGGACAGGATCTAAAATGTCAGCCTAGCAAAGGACAGGATCTAAAATGTCAGCCTAGCAAAGGACAGGATCTAAAATATCAGCCTGTGTAAAGGACAGGATCTAAAATGTCAGCCTAGCAAAGGACAGGATCTAAAATATCAGCCTAGCAAAGGACAGGATCTAAAATATCAGCCTAGCAAAGGACAGGATCTAAAATATCTGCCTAGCAAAGGACAGGATCTAAAATATCAGCCTAGCAAAGGACAGGATCTAAAATATCAGCCTGTGTAAATGACAGGATCTAAAATATCAGCCTAGCAAAGGACAGGATCTAAAATGTCAGCCTGTGTAAAGGACAGGATCTAAAATATCAGCCTGTGTAAAGGACAGGATCTAAAATATCAGCCTGTGTAAAGGACAGGATCTAAAATATCAGCCAAGCAAAGGACAGGATCTAAAATATCAGCCTAGTAAAGGACAGGATCTAAAATATCAGCCTAGCAAAGGACAGGATCTAAAATATCAGCCTGTGTAAAGGACAGGATCTAAAATATCAGCCTAGCAAAGGACAGGATCTAAAATATCAGCCTGTGTAAAGGACAGGATCTAAAATATCAGCCTAGCAAAGGACAGGATCTAAAATGTCAGCCTGTGTAAAGGACAGGATCTAAAATATCAGCCTGTGTAAAGGACAGGATCTAAAATATCAGCCTGTGTAAAGGACAGGATCTAAAATATCAGCCAAGCAAAGGACAGGATCTAAAATATCAGCCTAGTAAAGGACAGGATCTAAAATATCAGCCTAGCAAAGGACAGGATCTAAAATATCAGCCTAGTAAAGGACAGGATCTGAAATATCAGCCTAGCAAAGGACAGGATCTAAAATATCAGCCAAGCAAAGGACAGGATCTAAAATATCAGCCTAGTAAAGGACAGGATCTGAAATATCAGCCTAGCAAAGGACAGGATCTAAAATGTCAGCCTAGCAAAGGACAGGATCTAAAATATTAGCCTAGCAAAGGACAGGATCTAAAATGTCAGCCAAGCAAAGGACAGGATCTAAAATATCAGCCTAGCAAAGGACAGGATCTAAAATATCAGCCTGTGTAAAGGACAGGATCTGAAATATCAGCCTAGCAAAGGACAGTATCTAAATTATCAGCTTAGCAAAGGACAGGATCTAAAATATCAGCAAATGTGTTTGTAAAGTATAATGACAGGAAAATACCCTTATCAAAGAGGGCATCTCCAGACAAGAGGCCTTTGCATCACTCACCCGGTATTCAATGTTCATCAAAAATAGAATCAGTGTAAATATCACAAATCTATTGACATGTACACCATTGGCATTCAAAGTGGGCAGATCGTATCAATTTTAACAAATTTCCACAACAAACAGCTTCTTTTACACAACTCTAAGCAGTGATAGTGTTGATCTGGTTTACAGGTAAATGCCATTATCTTTTTACTCAAAATTTGTCAGGCTTTGACCACGAAACACCTTTCCACCAAATCCTGCTTCTTGGGTTTTTGGTTTACCAGACAAAGTCTTTTTACAGGTCAACAAATTTGAACTTCAATTAGGGTCAAGGTCATTTCTTTACACAAATTTGTCAAGCGTCATCCTAGGAAACTATCTTTTGAATAATCAGAAGAACTTGATCGGAAGTTTTAATGAATTAGACCCCTGTGACCCTGAATAACGGTCAAAGTCATTTCTTTTTTGAAACTATGTCAAGCTCCATCTTAGGAACGTATTATCCAAATCCATGCTTCTGTGACTTTTGATTAGTCAGAAGAGGTCATTCAAAGGTTTTAAGAAATTTGACCTCTGTGACCTTGAATATAGATCAAGGTCATTTCTATTCACCGACTATGATAGGCTTCACCCAAGCAATGCACAAGCCAAATACCATGACATTAGGACTGCTGGTTAATTAGAAGAAGTCATTTAAATGGAAATGTTGACACTGAAGGGCTGGATGACAGACACTGCCCCATGGCATCAGCTCATTTTGCCCTTTGGGCAGCTAATGACCTTAATATACCCTTATTGTAGGGGAAGTCTCTGAATTACCAGAAGATACCTTTGTCAAAGGGATATTAATTCCTTTGAGCTTGTATTGTCAGCTTTAACTTTAAATCAAGATAAAAAGTTTAAATAGTGACATTTATTTTCTTTGTTGATCAAAATGGAACATTTCTACAAGTCATATTAACTGTTGGCTAGGAAAGATCGTCCTGGTGAAGGAGATAGTCAGGTGATCTTTTCATGTCTGAACATGGTCTGTTCATTTGTATTCAATGTCCCCAAAACAGCAAGGGTTATAGATACTGATTATTGAAATCTTAACCAAGTTAGTCGAGTGAAAGTCCAGTACAATGCCACTAAAACACACATGTAACCTTTTGGTATAGTATATGACCCTGAGGCATTAACGATACTCACCCTTGGGGTGGCAAGATCCTTGATAACTTCCATTTCATTATCTGTGAGAGCTTGATGGAAAAATATCAGATAAGGGTCAAGATAGATCTCCTCCATCCTCATCGGACTCAAGATAAGCAAGGGGTTCATATTGTTTGTGTGGTATCTGCAGACGAGCTGGTGTCTGTGTTTATATACCTGTAGATAGCATGACAATAACATGATCAATAATTACCACGAAAAATGTCCTCTCATATTTACCACAAGTCAGTCTGCTGTAATTACCACAAAAATTTACTAAATCTTAAATTACTAGATAAACATGTTAAACACCTGTAACTACTTAACAGACACGTTAAACACCTGTAATTACTAAACAGGTATGTAAAACACCTGTAATTACTAAACAGATATGTTAAACACCTGTAATTACTAAAAAGACATGTTAAACACCTGTAATTACTAAACAGACATGTTAAACACCTGTAATTACTAAACAGACACGTTAAACACCTGTAATTACTAAACAGACACGTTAAACACCTGTAATTACTAAACAGACACGTTAAACACCTGTAATTACTAAACAGACACGTTAAACACCTGCAATTACTAAACAGACACCTTAAACACCTGCAATTACTAAACAGACACATTAAACACCTGTAATTACTAAACAGACATGTTAAACACCTGTAATTACTAAACAGACATGTTAAACACCTGTAATTACTAAACAGACATGTTAAACACCTGTAATTACTAAACAGACATGTTAAACACCTGTAATTACTAAACAGACATTTAAACACCTGTAATTACTAAACAGACATGTTAAACACCTGTAATTACTACATCAACATTTTAAAACATATGTAATTACCACCTTAACATGTTAAACACCTGTATCATCTACCTGAGTCTAAAACCATAGTTCCATAATTACTTACATGTGTAGTTTCTCCCCTACAAAGTTTTTCATAGGTGGCAAATTCCTCAGAGTTACGATACTCGTCAAGCTGTCTTTCATGTTTGACCACCTCCTCCTCCTGCTTGGCAGTATCCTCTCCAGTCTCACCTCGCTGGGTGGCCAGTTTACGTGCCTCTGCAGCTCGGTCATTTAACATTTTCTGGTAATATCTTTTATTATTCTGGGCTCTCGTATTATCAGGAGCTGTAACAGTTACAGCAGAAAATATCATTTAGCGATATCTATACATCGTTATTAACAGGTGATTTCAGAGAATGGTTCTATATATCACAATTTTAATGACAGATATCAATAATTATTGTTGAAATTAATTACAAAACAAGGTTACATTAAACATATATACTACAAGCTTAATTTTGATCTCATTGGAAAATATTGTATTTATTTCATTGTGCAATATGTAGATTGATATAAGTAATGCTATTCTGTTGTTACAATTCCAATATATACTTTGAGAACCTGACATTACTAAGATTAGACCAACATGTTAAAGACAGGTGTCACCTCTTTAGTATTACTCTGATACTCCATCAGGATCTCTCTTGATATACCTTGGTAGTTGACATTTTCATCAAAGACTTTGATAATTAATTTTAATCAACAAGATTCTCTCCATCCCTACAATAATGCATTGTAATACATATTGTTTGTGACATTTGTCATCAGAAAATTGATTGAAAAAGTGAAAAAAAAAAAAACCCAGATGTAAAGTCTTTTAACTCTCCACAGGGTAGACTTTCCCTCTGGCTCAGTCTTACCCAGAGTCAGTAGTTCCTCAGTTAATGTCAGAGCATAGTTCAGGTTTCCTTCCTACAAAAAAATATATATACATTAAACTCTGACCATATCAACATTTATAAGTTTATCAAAGAATTGGAAAAGCTAATCAATGGAGTCATCCAAATGATCAAATTGTTTGTCTTTTGTTGAACTTGGGCAGTTGTGGTTCCAAATTAAATCCTTTATCAGAACATTGGTCTAGAAGTTAGAAATGTAACATCTTATTTCATTTTTTCTTATGGAGCTATCAAATTTGAAAGAAACATAATTACATTTACCATCAAAGCTTAAAAGTACATCTTACAATTTAAACAATATGACCTACAACAAATCTTTATGTCAGTAACTTACAGTCAGCTCTGTTGATTAATAATGTAAAGTACTGACTAACACTCTACATCTTCATTATTTTGGTAACCCTAATCCATTCTTTAAAATTCTGACTTACAAAAATAGATCAAACTCCTTTTATTTCTCAAACATTGAAATGTTTGATATCAGCAAATTAAAGGCTATTATATCAATTTTGTTTTGTCCTATCTATCAATTTGTAGAGGTCATTTGACCTTTACAAAAAAAAAATATGACCATGACTATGCATGGGCCAAGGTCATTTCTTTGCATAAACTTTTTTAGAAACCCTGGTGAGCAAACAGCATTATCCAAATAGCATCAATCTTGGCCTTTCAGATACTCAAGAGAAATTTTTCAATTTTTTGTACCTAAAAACTTCATTTGAGTCAAGTTCATTTCTCTTCAAAAAAAATTGTAGACTCCAGTGCAAGCATGCTACTGACCAGATAGTATGATTTCAGGTATTCTAGGTTTATTATCAGATGTGTTTTTGAGAAATTTTACAACTGTAACTCTTCATTTGTCAGGTATCATCCCAGGAAGATCCTTGCCAAACTTAATGACTCTATAACATATGCTTTTTAAGAAGAAGTTGACAGATTGACAAACAGTATCAGCTCACTTGGCCCTTTACACACAGTGAGCTCTTTAACGGTTTTTACAGGTCCTATTTTGGTCATTTCTGGCCCATACCATCATGTTGGAATAGGACAAGTAGTCGAGGATGTCAGAACGCTGGGCTGTTTTGTTTATCTCTCTTGCGTCCTGATTCAGCGACGTCTGCATCCATAAGGACGTATGGTAGTAGTCTCTTATGGAGTAGGCCAATCGTCCAATCGTGAAGCAGTCCTCGGCTGTAAAGGCAATACCAATTACTAAGGCAACAGGTGTTGATAAGGTCTGCCTTGTGCCATGCTATTAGGACTACTGACCGTCAGATTGAAGGTGTATGGACAAGCAGGCAACGCGCACCAACTATTGATGCATCATGGGTAATTGTATCAATCCACAGGAGGCAGGCATACTGGGGGGTCAAAGGTTGATATATGGAGACTTCTTGCCTTCAGTTGATCAGCCAAATAAACAAGATCATGGGTTAAGTCTGTGCAGGCAGAGATGCAGTTTCACCTTTATCCATGCAGTTAGATTTGGACATGCAGTATCCACACACAAAGTATCATACCCAAAACATTGGGTGCTCCTCCAAAAACTGTGACAGTAAAATTTAACTCTGTCTGACATCACAAATACTCACCTGTAGGATCACTAAAATAAAACCTCAGTCGTCATGTGACTCTGGACGTTAAAGTCCATGAAAAAAATTAAAACCTACCTTTATGTGTAAAGTTTAAATGTTGTTAAATGATGATTAACTTACTTTGTACACAGAGAAGGAGAGGTAGTCAAGGATGTCCTTACGATGGACAGTCTTGTTGATTTCCTTGTCAAGTTTGTTGAGGGCGACTTCCATCCACAGTGAGGTGTGGTAGTAATCAAGATCATGATAGGCAACACGGCCTAACTCAAAGCAATCGTCCGCTACAAATAATATACACTACTATCATGTTGTTAGTAGTTTACATCAATATCTTACAACAACCCACAGTCACAATCAGACTCAACAACAGCTCAGAGTAAAACTCAACTTAAATTCACTGGCTTAACAACAGCTCAGAGTAAAACTCAACTTAAATTCACAGACATAACAACAGCTCAGAGTAAAACTCAACTTAAATTCACAGACTCAACAACAGCTCAGAGTAAAATGCAACTTAAAGTCACATTCAAACTCAACAGCAATTCAAAGTAAAACTCAATTTCCTCTCAGACTTAAATTCACAGACTCAACAACACCTCAGAGTAAAACTCAACTTAAATTCACAGACTTAACAACAGCTCAGAGTAAAACTCAACTTAAATTCACAGACTTAACAACAGCTCAGAGTAAAACTCAACTTAAATTCACAGACTCAACAACAGCTCAGAGTAAAATGCAACTTAAAGTCACATTCAAACTCAACAGCAATTCAAAGTAAAACTCAATTTCCTCTCAGAGTTCACAACTTACAAGTTTAGGAAATGTCAGATTGGAAAAGATTTTGCCAAAACATATATCTTATCTTAGTTACCATGGCAGGCAAAGGAGAGCAAACAGTACCAAAACAGGATGTATTTGCCTTCCTATATGACAACTTTCAGCTCTATCAGACAATACTTCAATTAGAACGTATCAGGAAACTCCGTCACTTTTCCAGAACATTAATTCTGGAAACATCTGATGTGTCAAATTATAGACACACAATTCCCCAAGTCTGAATAAAATTCCTTCAAACATTTAAAAGCTATTGGATATTACACAAATACATATGTACAGGGACACAGTTACAATTAAAACAACCAAACATTTTTTCAAATCTTACTGGAGGTTTGGTAATTATTGGTTTTCAAAATCCTTAAACAACAATTTTCATTGTTTCCATAGAAACAATTCTGGAAACACACAGTCAAATCAAAGCTTTTTATAAGTCCATCATTTTATCAAGTTTCATTAAAATTGATTTATGGAATGTTTGACCATCATAAATCCACTACACAAAAACCTGTGTATAGTGACCTAGTAACTATGGCAAACCAAAATTTCTGCTCACAAAAAAACTGTGTATAGTGACCTTGTAACTATGGCAAACCAAAATTTCTGCTCACAAAAAAACCTGTGTATAGTGACCTAGTAACTATAGCAAACCAAAATTTCTGCTCACAAAAAAAAACTGTATAGTGACCTAGTAACTATGGCAAACCAAACTTTCTGCTCACAAAAACCTGTGTATAGTGACCTAGTAACTATGGCAAACCAAACTTTCTGCTCACAAAAAAACTGTGTATAGTGACCTAGTAACTATGGCAAACCAAAATTTCTGCTCAAAAAAAAAAACCCTGCATGCCCATCTACACATGGTCTCTTAATGTTCTTGTCAGTTTAGGAGGAACTGTTCACACACTATTTGCACGCAAAAATCTGTGTTTATTAAGCTGGTTACCATGGCAATCAAAATTTCTGCTGACAAAAAAAATGCATGCATATTTACACATTGTTAATAACATTCCAGTAGTTTCATAGAAATTCCTTGGTCTGTATTTACCAATCGCTTATAATACAGAGTTGGGGCCTCCAATCATTCCTACCGGAGGAGTAGGATTTTTAAGAAGTTGCTTTATTTCCGAAGACTGGGCATCAACCCTACAGCCATATGGGGGCTGGAATCTATGGCTATTACAACATTGATTTCCCTTCAACCAGACCAAATTTGGGCAAAATTCAATCATTGCTACGAAGGAATAGGATTTTAAAGAGGTTGTTCTATTTCCCCAATTGGGCCTCTCATGTCCCACCCTATTGACAGTCGGGTCAATATCCTATACAACATTGATTCCCATTTAACAATAAATACTTCACACCAAATTTCAGCCCCCTTAACCGGAGAATGCTTCAGACCTTTGGCAGAGTACAATCATTCCTGCAGGAAGAAAAGAATTTTAAAGAATTTGTTCTTTTTCCCTTATTAGGGCCCATCAATTCTGCCCCAGGGGGCCAAGTCTATCTGGTTTATCAACATATACCACCTCATTCCCACATCTTACCTCATTTGCATATACCACCTTATTCACATATCTCATTCCCTTACCAGTCTTGTCCCTTACCACCTGACAATCAAACTTCTAGCAGTATACCACTTAACTCAAACGTAAGTTGACCAGGCAAAACACACATCTATCTACAGGGCATGCAGATGATCATTCATTTTCACATGCTGATAATTACAGATCTTTACAAAGTCATGTGTGTTGTTATGGGACACGGAAATCAACATACAAAACAATGTAATTAGAATCAAACAATAAAAATAAACATGATATACACAATGGAGCATGTGTGATTCTTATATTATTGCATTATTTGAAAAATGGATTCTGTCGAAACTATTTGTCATTGCTTATGGCTTGCTGGAAAGTAGTATGTATTGTATGGATGAGAGTTTGTCTTGCTTACCTATCAAAGACACTATTGGTGTACCTGAACGTTCCTCCCCTCTCCCACTTGATTCCCTCCTCCCCCTCCACCCATCCCCTACCAGCAAAAGTTCTTGTCCAGTTTGTAGGCTTGTCGAGCTTATCTATAAGTGACATCAGTAGGTTATCCTGATGACTCCCCCCCCCACCCCCTTCAAACACAGGAACAAGGTCCTTGTCCAGTTTGCAAGTTTGTCCAGGTTATCTGTTAATGAAACTGATTGGGTACCCTAAAAGTTCCCTCCAGGAATAAAGCCCTTGTGCAGCTAACCTATTAATGACATCAGTAGGGTACCCTGATGATTCCCTCCCCCTAAACCCAGGAATAAGGTCCTTGTCCAGCTTACCTGTTAATGACACAGATGGGGTACCCTGAAGGTCTCCTCCAGCAATACGGTCGGTGTCTAGTTTGTATGTATCTTGTAATCTCAGCAAAGCCACCACAGCCCCATTTAAATCTTCATATGATGGAAGACTTTCTCTCAGATGTTGGATCCGCTCTTCCAAATCTGTGTGTAATACAGTTTGAAATTATCTCGACAATAAGCTTAAGTGTACTACAAAGTTGCTTAATCAAAAATGACGAGGAAGGATTTTACAGATTAGCAGCTGCTTTTCTCTGTTCAGTTTTGCCCCTCTGTCTCTAATGGGGAAGTACCCTTGCATCACCAAAAAATGACTCATATTTACCTTATGTTGCTGTAGACCAAAATGGTCGTGAAAAAGTTTGGATTGGATTAATGAAAGATGTTTCGCTATCACATAAGCATGTTTATACACTCCACTTGGACCAGGTATCTAAACATTTTCCAGTCTTTCATCATGTCTATTTCATTGTGTCGAGAAGAGTAAATATAATCGAGTAAAACACATTCAAAATATCTCAGTAAAACTTACCAGGTTTGAGCGAATTTATCTCCCCTGTAACATCTCGATCCCAGTCTATCGTGAACCCTTTAATCAACAAGTAAGCATTGACTGGATTTCCAAGGTATTTCTCAGGATTCTGTAACACTGTTGTGCTGTGATCAGCCATGTCAGAAGCAAGCCTACAAAACATACATTTACATACAAATTACGCTAGAAATAGATTACATACAGGTCACAATAGAAACAGATTACATACAGGTTACATCAGTTACAGATTACATACAGGTTACATCAGTTACAGATTACATACAGGTCACAATAGAAACAGATTACATACAGGTTACATCAGTTACAGATTACATACAGGTCACAAGAGAAATAGATTACATACAGGTTACATCAGCAACAGATTACATACAGGTCACAATAGAAATAGATTACATACAGGTCACAAGAGAAATAGATTACATACAGGTTACATCAGCAACAGATTACATACAGGTCACAACAGAAATAGATTACATACAGGTCACAATAGAAATAGATTACATACAGGTAACATCAGCAACAGATTACATACAGGTTACATCAGTTACAGATTACATACAGGTCACAATAGGAACAAATTACATACAGGTTACATCAGTTACTCATTATATACAGGTCACAATAGAAACATATTACATACAGGTTACTCCAGCAACAGTTCACCAACAGGTGACACTAGAAATTGATTACATACAGGTCACACCAGAAACAGATTACACCAGCAACAGTTTACATCCTGGTAACACTAGAAACAGGTTACATACAGGTTACTCCAGCAACAGTTCACCAACAGGTGACACTAGAAATTGATTACATACAGGTCAAACTGGAAATAGATTGCATACAGGTCACACTGGAAATAGATTACATACAGGTCACACTGGAAATAGATTACATACAGGTGACAACAGTTACAGATTAAATACAGGTAACATTACAAATATACGTGTTTAACATTCATAATGAAATCACATAGATGTATTCAATGATAGACAGACATACAGAAACACTCTATACAGTGTGCTGTAGGATAATGAAACACCATGTCAATCATTTCTATCTTATGATATGTGTACACAGGAAATGAAATGGAAACCTACATTTTGTGGGGTTTTTTTTCACTCTGATATAGCTCTACAAGAAAATTTACATGATATTATATATCAAAGGAAAAAAGCCTTACTTGGTGTTTAATTTATGTACCTGCTACCTCTCACTTCATATATATCGTGAGAAGTATCCTAATTTCCTGTGTATTGCCCGCTCTGTTAGTTTGCCCGCACTAACCAAAATAGCTGTTTTAAGAATTTCATTCTGCAGATAGCTGCTCCTGTGCAATGTCAGGGGTTACCTGCTACTAATTATATATTATTGTCTTATGAATGTCAAATAACTCTACCTGGGGAATCCCCCAATGCATTGTTTGTATCGCAGTTGACAGCTCTCACAGGAACTATTACCTTGACATGTGAACAGTATAAACAAACTAGAGAAAGTGATGATGACATACCCCTAGCAGAGATTGCTAGCCTGGATAGGGAACAGCTAGGTCTGGGTATTGGGCTGATACACTTCTGGTCAGCTGTGACAAACTTGGTTCATTTCAGAATATTTTATTGATAAAAATAATCAATAAGATTGGACATCATGCTAGAGCCTATATAAGCGTTCTCCCAGACAAACTTCGTTCATTCCAGAACAATATTAAATATTCTCCCAGACAAGCTTCATTCATTCCAGAACAATATTAAATATTCTCCCAGACAAACTTCGTTCATTCCAGAACAATATTAAATATTCTCCCAGACAAGCTTCGTTCATTCCAGAACAATATTAAATATTCTCCCAGACAAGCTTCGTTCATTCCAGAACAATATTAAATATTCTCCCAGACAAGCTTCGTTCATTCCAGAACAATATTAAATATTCTCCCAGACAAGCTTCGTTCATTCCAGAACAATATTAAATATTCTCCCAGACAAACTTCGTTCATTCCAGAACAATATTAAATATTCTCCCAGACAAACTTCGTTCATTCCAGAACAATATCAAATATTCTCCCAGACAAACTTCGTTCATTCCAGAACAATATCAAATATTCTCCCAGACAAGCTTCGTTCATTCCAGAACAATATTAAATATTCTCCCAGACAAACTTCGTTCATTCCAGAACAATATTAAATATTCTCCCAGACAAGCTTCGTTCATTCCAGAACAATATTAAATATTCTCCCAGACAAACTTCGTTCATTCCAGAACAATATTAAATATTCTCCCAGACAAGCTTCGTTCATTCCAGAACAATATTAAATATTCTCCCAGACAAGCTTCGTTCATTCCAGAACAATATTAAATATTCTCCCAGACAAACTTCGTTCATTCCAGAACAATATCAAATATTCAATGTGTTGGATAATTAAAACAAACTATTTGTGGGTTTTTTTTTTCATTGTCTATCTGACATTTGACAGATTTCTTATAGCATGCAGGTTTTTTTTTTGAAAACGTTTCATCAGATAGCCCGCTTTATCAGATAGCCCGCAGATGGTTTTTTTTTTCTATATTTCAAATCATACAGCCCATAGGTAATAGGCAAGAATTCACTGAGTGTTGCACAAAAAACTTGAGAAGCAATGAATCACTTTAATTGACAAAATAAAATATTGTCACCTCTGATCTCTACTAGTTTTTAAGACTTAGTAATGACAAATCTTAATGATCAATTTCCAAATTAGGCCCCTAAAAAAGAGCTACAATCTTCGTTACTTATCTAACATAACACTGACTTTCTTTGGACCAGGAAAGCTCAAATAATCAAATCTGCTTGCAATCCTGTCACAATCCTGGATGCTGAAGATATACAAAACTTACATGTTCCCTATTTAAATCCTGCCATCTGGTCTAAAGAAAGACACAACTTCCATTTATTAAATCAAAGATCCTCTTTAGGAATAATTATTCAAACCATCAGCTTTCTGTCAGGTGCACCAAAATAGAACATCTTATAATGTTGATTAGGGCTGACTAATTTGTCATTGAAGACAAGGTTAAACTGTTCACAGCGAACAATGTGGTGTAGCAGTTAAACAGTCTTTAATCAAGTAAAATGACATCTAATTCAAATAACTGGAAGTCTGATTTAATATCAAATGTCATCCTTTTCTTTTTATCAAATCCAATCTAAACTGAGCCTAACATGAGAAAATATATACAGGGTATGGTGACGTCAAGTACTGGGGTAGGTCTACAATGCAGTGTAGATTAACAAAAATACTTGAGGCTGCATGATGCCTTAGTAATCATCAGTTAATTATTCGGAAAGATCTTCGATATAAAAATTGCAGTATGCCTACGAGTTGAAGCTTTGTGCCTGCCACCTTAGGTGTTCTAGTAACTGTGTACATGATCATAATTCACTACCAGATAATCAGAATTTCATATTTCATCTTGTAGATTAGAATTAAGACTACATGTCACCTGTTTAATAATCCTGTCTGCCAGAATTTTTTTTAAAATTTTGATTTTACTTAATTTACCTATGGTATCGTCAAAGATACACAAACTATATATCATAAATTTAAACATTTGTATTTGTACTTATTCTACATAATAAACATATGTTGTATTTTCAGTGCCAAAAGTTTGTCCACAACATAATTTCCTTTTTTAATTTTTTTTTCTTTTATGCCTCACAACATGTTCTTGTATGTTACTACACACTGTGCAGCCAAACAAATTGCATTAATCCATTTGACTAGTCTAGCTTTAGGACGCTTCACTATCTCGTATATCACTCAAGTCTAATGAGAAAATGGAGATCCAATTAATATTATTATACCATCATTTCAACTACCGAAGTATAGAATAACCACGAGCTACAAAACATCTCTGATTATCTGTATTCTAGATGTACTAGTTTTAATATAAGGCTGTCAGACAACTGCAAGAGAAGGCCTGCATTATTACAGCCTTCTCAACACAGTAATATTACAAATATTTTCTGGTCTGAATTTGGCTCTCAGAATTATTCATAGAACATAAATCCGATATCTCCTCTAAAGCTAACTATGTTGGATCTTGCCCCCTCTCCCCCCTGCTGGGGCCTCTTGGATCTTGCCCCTCTCCCCCCTGCTGGGGCCTCTTGGATCTTGCTCCTCTCCCCCCTGATGGGGCCTCTTGGATCTTGCCCCTCTCCCCCCTGCTGGGGCCTCTTGGATCTTGCTCCTCTCCCCCCTGCTGGGACCTCTTGGATCTTGCCCCTTTCTTTATTTTAGATAAATGTGCAATTTCATATATATATATAGATATAGATATTTGTACAATTCTAGATTAATACAGTCTTGTAAAGTTGTATAGAAAAGTGTACAATTCTGGATTAATACATGCAGGCCTACAGTGTTGTATAGATAAGTGTACAATTCTGGATTAATACAGTGTTATATAGATAAATGTACAATTCTGGATTAATACAGTGTTATATTGGTAAGTGTACAGTTCTGGATTAATACAGTTTAGTATAGATAAGTGTACAATTCTGGGTTAATACAGTTTTGTATAGATAAATGTACAATTCTGGGTTAATACAGTGTTATATAGATAAATGTACAATTCTGGATTAATACAGTGTTATATAGATAAATGTACAATTCTGGGTATAGATAAGTGTACAATTCTGGATTAATACAGTTTAGTATAGATAAATGTACAATTCTGGGTTAATACAGTGTTATATAGATAAATGTACAATTCTGGATTAATACAGTTTAGTATAGATAAATGTACAATTCTGGGTTAATACAGTGTTATATAGATAAATGTACAATTCTGGATTAATACAGTTTAGTATAGATAAATGTACAATTCTGGGTTAATACAGTTTTGTATAGATAAATGTACAATTCTGGGTTAATACAGTGTTATATAGATAAGTGTACAATTCTGGGTTAATACAGTGTTATATAGATAAGTGTACAATTCTGGGTTAATACAGTTTTGTATAGATAAATGTACAATTCTGGGTTAATACAGTGTTATATAGATAAATGTACAATTCTGGATTAATACAGTTTAGTATAGATAAGTGTACAATTCTGGGTTAATACAGTGTTATATAGATAAATGTACAATTCTG